TGTTTCGTAGAAACTCTTTCGTCAAAAAAAAAAATCTGAAATCATGAGGCATTTTAGCTGTTCTCCGCTCGAATTGAAAATTTCGCGTAGTAATAGGCTATGATTTGTTACAATAGCCTTTAAGACAACATGGGCAGCCACACACATACAGACAGACTGGAATACTTAATTCACCTTATGAAAAACTCTATTGTCATCATTTTTATTGATTTATGAGATCTAAGAGGAAATTATAACTTCCTCCCAACAAAATCAGTAAACTTTTATTTATATTTTACGAATTTAAAGACATTCGTAACAAAAATTTACGTATTTTGTTTTGAATGTGTAAAAACGTGTTCATAGAGTTGTTTTTATTATCTCGCTATGCGTACTTTTAAAAATATCAGTAGTATGTTACGATTGACGTGCTTTGATTATTTCAAGAAGAAAGCCTTCTACCTGAAAACTCTTCAACTTAACAGTTTTATAATAGGTGATGATTGAAGGTGAAATGAAAATTTGGACCGCAGCCCGATTCGACTCAGCGACCACCGATTTCCCGGCTCTATGCTGTACCAACTAACCTACGAGGTCTGACTACTGACTAGATTTTTATTTCATTTCAATCACTAAGGGTTTCGCCCGACTACCATTTGAATTTGTAACGCGTTACTACCGTTTGATCGTACTCACATTGACTGCCTGGTCAAGACTTCTCATCAGAATCAAAATCTAACTGAATTAGAGAAGGGGAGCATCATATCGATTATCATTTTCACTATCTGAGATAGCCATGGTTTGACAGACTGGTATCGATACTGGGTGATGAAGGAAGGGGGACTCAAAACTGGCGCCGCGGCTGAACTCGAACCAGCGATCACTGGGTTTCTCACCCGATGCTCTACCAATCATCACTCAGTATCAATACTGGTCTGCCAAACCACGGCTATCTCAGATAGTCAAAATGTTAACAGTTTTAGTAGAAAACCTATTTCCGCTAAACTTGTCTATATACTGCTATGATTCAAGATTCAAATAACTAATGGTTACTTTTATCATTGCATAATGGGCTGGTGAAGACCGGTATGAACTGGATTCAGTTTGAGTGTAAAAGATAAGTAATAACCTACCGAGGAAATAGATATAAAAATGGCTTCCTAAGAGAAGCATTTCCGTCACAAAGTTCTACTAAGGGCTATATATCAGATTGCATATAGCTTTGGATTGAATATTCGAATCTGGAGGTTTTTGAAGATTTATTGATTTTAGGTTAGTATTCATCACGGACTGACATCACTTAAAGGACTATTGGGAACCTGGAGTAACTGCACATCTCTTTCATTTGGATGTGCAGCTCCTAGCTAGCATGCATTCATGATCGTGCAAAGTATTGGACTAAAGGTCTTTAGGTTTTCCAACAACCACGTCAATATCCAGCCATTTGGTCTACATTTTCATACTTCTGTCCAATGCTCCTAGATCTACAGTGATTCCCCAACTGATGTCAGTTCTGAATGAATACCGACTTAAAGTCAATAAATTCCCACAAGCCTCCAAATTGAATTACTCAACAATGACTTTGTTCGAGATGAGACTTCCCCAAGCTCAAATAAGAAGTCGTGGTCGGTTGTCTAACTCGCGTATGAGAACAAATACTCTCCATTGACATTGGATGAAGATCACACTATATGGAGAATAAATAGAAGTAGGAAACTGTGGACCATTGGGTTTCGATCCAGTGTCTCAATGGTGACGTGTTCGTCATGAAACCAAAAGGTTATAGGTCCGATCCCTATCAGGGTTACAGATGCGCACTACTGAGGAGTCCCATAAGAAGATGAAATAGCCATTCAGTGCTTCAAGGTTCTCAATGGTTCTCTTTGGAATATCTCAAAGATCATTTAGTTTGATACATATAGACTAACTTGGTGGCTAGATAGGTGATTTATATTGCAGTACTCAGTCTGTGACTCACCTTTGTGACGATTTCATCCCCTTTGAAGGCAAAGTGTAGATAGGTGGACTTCTTGTCAACTGTACTGCATTTAATTTTTTTCTCTTCTGTCCCACCGTACTTGTCAATGAACTTTTGTGGATAACCATTTCCGCATAGACAGTTTTCGACAAAGACCAGTTCTTCCTCAAGTTTTTCTTAAGAGCGCAGTTTACGCGTATGAATGTAAAGTGTTCTTCGGATTCTCAGAGTTCTTTCGTATGCTTTAAAATTATGCTAAAGATTAGTTATGCTCTAAAAACTTGTTTAGTCACCAACTATAACCTGAAGGCCTGAACTGCTAACATATACACAGATGATGCTGAAACAATATGAAGCATTACAAAGAAAAGTTAGACCCGTATATTGCTCCAGAAGTGGTATATCTACCCACAGATAGATAGCATAATAGTCAACGGTTCGATCGAGTGTAAAAACATACTGCAAAACGATCTGGTGATATCTTTGGTTGGTTTTTAAGTAACAGTGAATTAAAATTCGCTGACGACGTACACCTCCTTTTTAGAAAGCTCCTATCACTGTATAAACCATCATTAAGCAATGAGAAATGGAAAGCCAACTAAGCCAAGAGAAGTTTGCAATGAAAACTTCCATCTACTTGTCAGGGAACTACCTCACATCGAATCACTTCAGAAGATTAATAAATACATTTTTTGATAGATTTCATATATGTCCCAACACTTAGGTCGTACAGTACTTGCTTGTATATAACAGATTTAGGGGCACCACTGACATAATTGTTTAGACTTGCACCAAGAAGTTGCAGGTAACACAGAGAAACATTCCTTCAGGTTATAAAGACTTTACTCACTCCTTTCCTACAGCATCATCTGGTAAGCGGATATAGATGGAAATGATTATTCAATTCATTTGTCCTCTCTATGACGAAACCCTCTTGTCTAACAGAATACGAAGCTACATCATTAAGTTTTAAAACTAACAGTACTGCATCTGGCTTAGGCATCCGATACTAGTTGTGATCCTTGGAAGGTCAGTAGGTATATCTGTCACCGAGAAAAGTGCTTAGCAATTATGTTGCTTTGTTGACATCTCTGTACTTGAACATCTACTTGCGTTAGAGCCAACAATGAACAGTCTATATAGAGTGATGTCTACTCTAGCCATTTTTATTCAACTTTATCACCGACACACTTATTAAGGTATCCCTCATGTCAAACTATTGCTTCCGGACTGTTACTTGTTGATAATTTATCACTAACAACAGGAATTGGGACGGTGGGGTGAGCTGACCACTTAATGTACTTGAGACATCACATTAACCCTGGTGTCGCTGATTAGCGATATCTAGACATGCATACGGAAGGTTGAACTGGCCTCCACCACCTGTTAATCGAAAGAACTCAGGCCACATCTTGGGGTTGGGTACCACGTACAACACCTCTGTCAAATATGCGGAGAATATAAAAGGCCATAAGGCATTACATCACCTTCGTCTTTGTTGAGATCACTTAAATGATGTAGAGGTGAGATAAACGTGTTAGGTAAGGAAAGTCAGTTAAATGATGAGGTTGTCAACTTCCACAGACTGAGCTGACTGAAACAAGGATTACGCGAATCGAACCATCGTCTACTGCAACACACTAAAGTAGGGTTAGGTTGGCGAAAAGTTAAGGATGACAAGACCTAAAAGTGGTAGCAATCCCAACCGATGGCAACTACCTTGATGTAGTGGTCAGGCTGATATTTCACAATGACCAAATGAGCTACACTGGCTGAAACGCTTCTTCCCTGAGATTGATTATACCATGCCAAAAGAATCTGTTGGATAAGACAAAAAGTAGTGGTCGTTACAGTGTATATTGTTACGCTGTGATGAGGGTCCGAGGGCGAAGTTGTACCGCTAGCTGGATGACAGCGTGACAGCGGTAAGGTATTTCCTGCGGATGACTAGGAATGTCATGCTGATGTTGAGACGATAAGTATCAGTGATTGAGGACTCCTGATGACATGGCGTAGATGAACTTACTCTTTGACGTCTTTTAACGCATGAATATTCTCACTAACCTTGATCACCAAATAGTTTCTCTTCTCAAACACTTTTATCTACTTTGATATCAGTCTTTCCTTGTCCACGTATTCCTGCGAATCGTGATAACTTGAACTGATGATGCACCTCAATACGAGGTTACACATTGATTTTACATCTGGTAGTAATCAAGGACGTCTCCGATTATTGGTCTGATTTATGCAGGGAGAAATGTAGGCCTGTCATTTTGAGATCTCATGACAACTGAAAATGATGGTTGGCAATTATAGGTAATATAGCTCATAATCAATCCTAGCAGTAAGAATCCTTTTCCATCTTATATTTGTTCTGATCGAATAACGAGTAGTCTCAGGTTGATCATATTTATCATTTCTGTCTGACCAAGCTGTCAATGGTTAAATAACATTCTATAAATGTAATGTATTTTTGAGATGAGTAGGGATTTTTAATTTAGAAGTAGCATTCATCATGGACTGACATCAGTTTGGGAACCATTGAAAATCTGGGAGCACTGGACAGCTGTTTTGTCCTAGTATGGGACTCCTCAGTAGTACGCACCCACGAACCGGCTAGGGATCCAACTCAGAACCTTCAGGTTAACCATTCAGCCACTGATATGCTTTGAGAAAGTTATTTTTAAAGTTCAATGAAGTTTCGATTCGTTGTCAGATAATAATCACTTTCACTGTTTCACTTGACGTTTGACAAACTTTCAGATGGATATTAGGAAGTTCTAATGGGAAGCTATGTTCAGTGGGGTCAACCAGCCGGAAGTGAAGTGGACGCTAACTGAAGACCTTGGGTGCCAGTCACGATATGTTGTGAATTGACAAAAGTTGGAAATTATAAACCCCCAGAAACTGACCCAGTGGCTGAATGGATAACGCGCTCGCCGGGAGACTTGAAGGTCCGAGTTCGATCCCTAGCTGGGTCGTGGGTGCGTACCCCATAAATGTGTTCTTTCTTGGCAAATAAAAACTTAGTCAAGATGTTTTTATCCTTATTTCTTATCAAATAATGACCGATAAAGTAAGTACAATATTAAAAGTTACATGAAGATAAAACGAACTCACTCAGTACATTCACTTATACAGATGACTACAAACAGATGATAGTAGTGACATGTAAAAAGGAGTAAAAATAATTGTAAAAGTAGAAAAAATATACACATTATCGTGAATGAAATTCATTGAATTGAGTTGAATTCACCTCTTTCAATTGAGTTAAGGAAAAATACCGTTCTACGAAAACAGTATACAAACTAAAGGAAAGCATTTACACTATTACCTGCACTCAGTTTTTGTGTAGGGATTGGAATAAAGACGAAAGGATTGAAATTGTGGATCTATGTAATAGCATTTATGCATAATACTAGCAACGAATATCACAACTGAAATAATGAGCAAAAAATTAAAATTATAATAGAGGAAAAGTATGAATATAACCATGATGTTACTGATGATGCTCAACTTAGACCGGACGAACTTTAGCTGTATGTGATGGCCTGGGTATTCCACTTTTGTTTTTACCTACAAAATATGAAACAGAATGAAAAAAATAACCGAGTAAGATGTTGCCTGTATTGGAGTGAGAACAACATCGCACACATCCTTAAATAGTTTCACGCTCAATCGCTCCAAGTGTTAGATGCTTAATTCTAGCTTAAAACGTGAACTGCTTAGGCCCCATTACTCTTGTTTCATGTTTTTCTCCTGGTCATTCTTGGTTCCCTGATGTATTACTGCTTTCCAGGAAAATCCTTTGCTTGACCTTTTTTATATAAGGAAACTGAGACTATCTGGCACAACCCAGCCTCCACTGTTAAATTTCACTAATCCTTATGTTTCGCCTATACTTACTTAATGTTTCCCCTTATTCTTTCTTGGACTCCGTCAAAAAGACTACGTTGTACTACGTAGGATTTTGAAGGATGTTAGTAGGGTAAGTGGTGCACTACTAACCGTGCTGAAAAATGCGGCATCTAAACTCTTATAGACAGCTGGCTACAAATATTCAATCTGATGACAAGCATCCTCTCTATGTACCTGCATCTCTCTCCATATCTGTCCTCTGGGAAGACAAGAAGCAAATACATATAAACCTCTATGTACGCACAACTACATACAAAAATTTACGTTTGCCACCTTGTTTAGCTTGTGTTTTATATGAACAAAATCATACTGGACCACAGTCTCATCAATCAACTTTGCAATAACGAACAGTTATCATCACCCTGAAGTCAATAAACATTCCAACAATCCTGTTATTCTTTATTATGTATCGCTAAACAGCCTTCTTGTTACTATACGTTTGGAAAATGTTGTACAACCGGTAAACTGATGGATTATCACATGCTGAGAATTCAGTACTATACTGTAAAAAATTATGGTTCGAACGAAGCAAATATATTACCGTTAGTATTATAAATACATCCAACCGACGAGCCCCAAACACGACGAGATGCGCACCCTTAAGTCCACTGCCAGCTACTAACCATTGTTATAATAATAATCTTAAGTTTATATAGAAATGAACACTATACAACTGAAGTTAACCAGCATAACTGACAATGAAAGGATTTATCTAAAAGTGAACACAAGTACGATCTTACAGAATTGGCCATTAACGTAATTGATACTTCTAGAAATAATCTACACTTAATTACGTGACGTTCTTCAAGTCAATTCAATATAACAGCGTGTAATCATCTAAATACGCTTGTCAACATAAAAAAGTGAAAGTAAACGTATGGACATGGAATGTCCCACCATGCTTGAACCTAGCAAGGCTGCTTAGATTGCAAAGGAGATGAGAAGGGATAGCATTGAAGTGCTTGGAATTTACGAAAGCAAGTGGAATGGAAGTGGACCTCCAAACTGTCAACTGGAGAGTCAATAATCTACTCCGATACTCTCACCCAGACGACAACCAAGAGCACACTGAGTTATGGAGTGGCCATCATGCTGTCCCCAACAGCATCAAAAACTCTCATGCAGTGAGAACTAATCTCCTCCACAATCATAACAGCAAGATACAACGCAAAAGGAAGGAAAGTCACAATCATACAATCCCATCACTACGCACCTACAAATAATGCAAATCAAGAGAAAAAGGAGGAATTCTACACACAACTGCAATCAACACTCGACAACACCCCACCCCAGTTGCCGACATCAAAATTCTAATAAACGATATAAATGCCAAAATGGGAACAGACAACTCAGAAAGAGAATCAATCACAGGTCGAGAAACACTCAGAGAAATGAATGAGAATGGAGAACTCTTTGCAGACTTCTGCCCATTCAACGATTTGGTGATTGGAGACAGTGTGTACAAACACAAAAATATTCACAAAGCGACATGTACTTCACCAGACACCAGACACATTACACTTAAAAACCAGATCGACTTCACCTCAATCTCAAGAAAGTGGAGATGGAGACGCAGCCAGCCTACTGCACACAAGATCAAAAAGAGGAGCAGATGTAGGTCCACATCACCCACTGTCTAGTGCAAGGAGCCTTCCAAATCTAGTTGAAACCTTCAAGGAAGTCGGTGATAGACCACAGTTCAAGTTCAACACCCTCAACAGAAACCGAAGATTCAAACTATAAAGGACATCTTCACGTCGTCAACTATCAGAACAAAATGGGAGACACTGAGAAACATCCCAGAGGAAAACTGCGTGCAGGAACACTGGAACTCTCAGAAAGCGACGTGAAAGGAAACCTGCACAAACATGTTAGGAAAGAAGAAAAAACAAGACAAGGTACGGATCTCCACAGATACATGGAAGCTGATAGAGAAGGGAGAAGATGGTGAAGAAGATAAACCAGTGAAGTGCAGGGATGAACAACGAAAAGGGGAGCTGAACACAACCTTAAAACACTACACTGGACAAAGAAGTGAAGAAGATGCACGCAAAGACAAAACACACTTCTACAATACATTGGCAAGTGAAGCAGAACAGGCTGCAGGTAGGAGAGACAGAGACCTGACAACACTATATCAAATAACTAGGTTACTAACTGGAAAGAGATCAACACAGCACAGATGAAACCAATGAAAGATAGTGAAGAAAACTTAGTTACCAAAGCGAAGAAACAAAGGAAACGATGGGTTGACCACTTCAAAAAACTCACTACCTCCAACTCGTCCAGACATATACCACCACCAGCACAGACACAAAACTATCACTGAACACAAACCCTCCGACAAAACCACAAGTGATGTCCTGAACACCATAAAGTTGCTGAAATCCAGGAAAGCAGCACGACCACATGGAATTCCACCAGAAGCACTGAAAACAGACGCAGAGACAACAGTCGACATGCTCACACCACTATTGTCGAAGGTTCCCAAGGAAGGAAGGAACGAAAGGGACCTTCCGGTTGGAAGAATGGCTACCTTGTCAAACTCCTAAACAAGGGTAACCAAAGTCTGTGCAACAACTGGCGAGGAATCATGCTCCTGTCCCTATCCATCCCAAGCAAACTATTAAGCCGCATCATCCTGGAGAGACTAAAACATGTTTTCGCTTCAAAATTATGACCGGAAAAAGCTGGTTGACTGTCTTCAAGAGAAACAATTCATGTAGGGATCAAATTCCAAAGCCACACATTATCACTGAAGGGAGCGTAGAATGGAAGAATGGAAACTCTTTATCTCAATTTCATCGACTTTGAAGAGGCTTTCGATAACGTCGAACTAAAAATTATTCGGCAACTGCTCCAACACTACTACCGAGTGCCACAAACCTTTATCAACCTCATTCAACAACTATATGAAGACGCCACATGACAAGTGATTCACAATGGAGAGCTCAGTGATGCCTTTGTATTGAGTTGAAGACACGAGTAAGACAAGGTTGTCGCCCACTATCACCCATGATATTCCTCATTATGGTCGACTAGACTGGATCATACCACAAACTGTGAGCAGCAAGAAGAGAAACATACGCTGGCTGAACCGATGAAAAGACCCTACGAGATTTGGATTTCGCCAACCATGATGAGTTGTGCCTAGTGTCTTGTCGCACAAACTCGAAGATCTACAGGCAAAAACTGACAAGTTGACAGAAGAGGCGAAGCAGGGCAGCGAAGACGAGACTTCAAGTGAATGTAGAGAAGACAGCGGTGTTGAAGTTACCCAACAAACAACAACAACAATCTCCAATCACCATCAACGGGAGGAACTTAAAGGAAGTAGTCTCTTTCACCCACCTACGTTGAGCAGCATCCTACCAACTACAGGTGACGGCACAGATGAGGACGTCAAAGCCAGTCAGGATCGGAAAGACAGCAAGTCAGGCCTTCATTAACCTGAAACCAGTGTGGAGATCTTCCGCACTCAGCATAAAGCGTGAACAACATCCGGAATTTCAACACTAATTCAGTCATGTCAGTGCTTCTATGTGATGGTTGAGAGACTTGGCAGCGCGTCACGGAAAGCATCTCCAACAAACTACAGATATTCATCAACAACTACCTACGCTCGTCACTGAAGATCAGATGGCCAGAAAGAATAAGCGACAAGGAACTCTGGGAACGGACCAACCAAGAACCTATCGCCCAACAAACATGAAGAAGTCAAGAGAGATTGGATTGGGTTGACATACACTGAGATGATTTGGGGACATCACGCGCTAAGCCAGGCTCTCGAGGTGAACCCAAATGGGAAACGACGAGTCGGGCGTCCAAGGCGAGGGTGACATGGAGGAGATGGTGTGAGGAAGCAATGAAAGCTTGTGGGCAGTCGTGGTGCCAGGTTGAGAAGACTGCAGAAACAGATTTAAATGGCAACGTACTACCGAAGCCCTATGTTCTACTAGGAACCCAAAGGACAAATAAACAATAATAAAACAGACTGATACTAGTTAAAGAACCATTTGAAGACTTTGAGCACTGAATGGCTGTTACATCCTAGTATGGGACTCCTCAGAAGTGTGTATCCACGACCCTGTCATGGATCAGATCCAGGACCTTCAGGTTGCCGGACAAACAAGTTACAATTGAGCAACTCGGTTGGAATCCAGTGGTCCACATTCTTCCTACTCCTTTAAATTGGCGATTTAGCGCGAAAATGAAAATTAAACTGAAATAACAAAATTCCATACAAGAGCATTCAAGCATTTTTACTTATTTGGCTAAAAGTAGAGCACATTTAAGGTCTCAAATGATCTAAAGATTCAATATCAAAAAGTATAACTTTCGGTATCTGTGCTGAACTTATCAGGTACAACGGAAAGGATCTTTTTAACAGCAAAGAATTAAAATCTGAATAAAGGAAAAAATGACGAAGTTCGCAGAATAAAATGACATAAATCATTTTATTTCGCGAATACTCAGCTGCATACAGTCTAAAAATATTATGGATACTTCAAAATGCAGAAATCAATAATCTTAAGTTGTACAACATAATCACTGATAATCCATACAACATGTAAGGGAATTAATTGTAAAGAGGTAAGAAGTATGAGAATGGAAAAATAATAATAAGCTACCTTGAACAGATGCACCTGAGTTCAGTCATCAGAAGAACAACCCTATTATCACAGGTACGTTGGCGACACATTTGGTGTTTGTAATCGTATGAAATATCCAAATGAGTTAATTGATAAGCTCAAAGAGTCTCACCTTAACACTTAAGTTACGAGTATGAAAACAAGTTGAGCTTTTTTGGACCTCATTTTGAGAAAAATAATCGAAAGTAAGGTTGAAAAGACCATCCATAGAGAAGACACATGGATCGGAGGACAATACCTTAACAATAACAGTTCCTGTCCTTACAATTATAAGCGTGAGTTTGTCAAGACACTTTACAAGAGAGTTAGGAAATTTTGTTCTGCAAACAAGTTAGATGAAGAACTCAACTTTATAAGAAAGTGTCTCCGAGAGAATGAAGTATCCAAAAGAAAAGATCCATGAAAATAGATAACCAACTGTAGGAAGGTTTTTTATACACCATGCATTCAAAGGAAATGCAATATCCAAGAGAATAGATCCAAGAATCAAAGCAGCACTGAGGAAGAGCTTCCCTGCAACTAAGCTTATTTCAGTATCACCATGCTCGTTGGAGCAGTCAGAATTGTATAATTACCCCGATTATGTCACACCACCAACTATATTTATGAATTCACATGCACTTGCAGTAGCAGGTACATTGGAATGGTGTTCATTATTCGGCTCACTAAGCATATTCCCAAGAATCTGTGCTTGAAAGTAAGTAGAATTTTAACCAATAAAACTGCCAGACACCTTGTAACCAAAGGAAATAAGATTACTACTTCGAATGCTTTTAAAATAGTAAACGTACAGAAAATATCTGGATTACTGCTTTTTATGAAAGTGATTGTAATAAGACGCTTTCAAACTGACCCTTGCATACGGTAGGACAGTGTGGTTAGTCTCTCACTCCCTTGGTGAATATGATTTGATCCTTTTTCATTTTCATTACAAAACTCTTTATTTATTTTTTATTAATTTTCTTACATGTTAAACGGATTATCAGTGATTTTTTTGTACAACCTAAGACTATTGATTTCCTAATGTTGAAACATCCTACGTTTTAGACTATGTGCAACTGAGGAGTATTCGTGAAACGAAATGATGATCTATATCACTTTATTCTGCATATTTCGTCCTTCTTACTTTGTTTAGATTTATCAAGGGTTCTAAATGTCTGGCTATTTCCGTAGACAACGTTTCACGAAATATCGTTGATTTTTACTTTTGTAAAGTAATCGAACATTAGTACAACATTTTCAATAAAATGTTATCCTAAGTAAAGAATTTTGAAATAAAGACGACTCGAACTTACTAGCTTCTGAAGTGGATTTAGATTTTATGGAAGAAGGATTACTTTTCTGTTGGTTTTGTAAACATCTTGGATTCTCTGTACATTGAGGCATATTAATAGTATTAGAACCTAAAAAATGTGCTTTCCATACATCTTCAGGACCACCAGGTGCAATTGAAACTGGTAGAAATGGGAGATCATGATGACAAAGAGGACAACGTAATCCAGATGATAATTTTATAGGTAAACAATTATGAGAATTTAGATGTGTTCTTAGTATAGCTTCTGAACACCGAGAACAACGTTCATACTGTCCAGGTGTACAAGCTTCACATTCTTTAAGTAAATGATCAGTTAAACCAGCTATTTCAACCACCTATAAGGACAAAAAAATAATGAAGAGAAGTTTATACGTACCGAAAAGTGAGAAGAATGAAGGTGTGAATTCAAGATGTCTACTATCAGCTTGTAAGAGAGCTGTAACTCAGTGGTCTCGTCCCCGACCTTCAACCAATAAAACGAAATAGCATATGCAATACGCTACTAGATTCTCAGCATATAATAATCTCAACAAATTTGTTCTCTGTATAATACTTTTAAACGCAATAATTATTGCCTCCAAATAGTGTTAATAATAAAATTATTAAAGGCACTAATGTGAAACGGGTAGCTCGTAATAAATAAACGTCCAGTCTGAGAACTGAGGAATGTATAAGAAATCGAGTGTCAATTTAGTGGTGGTAGTTCAATAAGGCAGTACAAAAATCTACAAATCGATTTAGGTATCCTAGGAATAGTAATGTGCTGTATTTTTGAGCAATTATAAGTTCATTTCCATTCGGTGTAACGTTTTTTCTTTGTTTCATTGTTACCATCAGAAATAACAGTCTGGAAACATTTCAACACCGAATTAACGAATTCACCAAAGCATAAGTAAAGTTAGGTTTAGAAATTCCATTCCATTCTATTCAATATTCTGCTATCCAAGTACTCAAACAGAACATTACAAAAACATTTAAACTGTTTTAACGCATATGTTAATGTGACTAGACAATCTTCCTCTTTAAGATAGTTAAGGTTTCCTTCCAACGAATTTCACCGCACCAACAATTTGTAATCACTTCATGGTGACATCCATCTATCTGTCATGTACATCACAAGGAAATAAGCCTCGAAAAGCATCGTAATGTCTTCTCGACTGCATTCTAACAGTGGTCCGACACACATTTTATATAAAATCAGGTGTGTTATGACACAAACTGTCACACAAAAGACAAAATCAACGTAGAACCTCACACACAAGTGCATCAATTCAAGTCGCCACAATTCACGGCAGTATACAAAGAACAAGTCTCTAGGAAACAACTCCTACCTGTCAAAGTAGACAAAGTTGTGTGACAGAATAAGCACTTTGAAAACAAAGGCTAGTGCAAATATTCAAACTACAGAAGACATCAAAGAGTGAATACATCTGTGCGACTATCACCAGTTTTCGGCCACTTTCTCAACCACTAATTTCTGTCATCTCGGGGACCTCAGTCAAAATGGTCAACATCTATCAACCCGGCTCAGACCAACAGTCATGGATTTCATCGACTGATGTTGCATCTTAGTCTGACCTCCCTCAACCCTCTTCCAATTTAATCCGATTTCCCCCAACGTGGCACGTTAATGTAGACAGTGACTCGGGATGTCACAGTGATAAGATACATTGCAACATAACAACTTTCATCATCATGGTAGTGGACTTCTCCTTCTGTTTGTTCAAAATTCAGAGACATCTTTCCTATATGCTTCTGAACAACTTTTAAAATTCTACTTCGACTAGATAATAAAAGCAACTGACCCAATGAAAAAACTAGAGTTATAAAGAAGGCGAAGAAAATTTTCTTTCATCAGAAGGTAAAATAAATAGATAAAGTCTACAGGTGATTATACAGTTCAATCGAATGAATGAAACACACTCAGATACCTCTTTCAAATCTGTGCACCAGGCAATGAGCCACGCATATTTCGTGGAGGCTAATGATGCTATCTGACTGCTCAAACCTCACTAGGTGGAGCGGGCCTTGAACCTGACACATATTAGTTGATAATCATCTCCCTAAATCACTAAGCCAGTCAATAACTTCAGTAAACAAGAATAAACAATCACAAAATCGATGGTAACTGGAACTCAGCAGCACTTTGCTGGACTAACTCCAGTCATTTTCTTTCTAACAGGAATTACTACACCCATTAAATGACCATATCGATAAAGCCCAAAATTTTATTAGGCTGAATGCCTAGACAGGAAATGATTCTGCGCAACAGACTAACATGTAGATGAATTCGGATACACAAAAAAACCAGCTTTCCTGTGAAAAAAACATGTTATCACCAAATACCTCTTGGAATATATTTTAGGAAATTTAAAATTGTTTTAAGTGGGCACTGAAAACCAATAGACATAAACACAACATACTTGTTTACAATTAGGACAACGATGGAGCATTGGACAAATTTTCCAATAATGTAAATCTAAACCTTCCTCTGTGAAAGACTCATTTTGTTCCCCACAGAATATACACGTTTTATCTAAGCTCAGTAAAAGTTCTGCTTCTTCAGTATGTTGATTTGAATCTTCAGAGATACTAGGAGCTGCTGAATTTTGAAATGGTTTTTCAACCTTTTGAATTCTTGATCCATTTTGGTTACATATTTGATTCTGATGATTCGGAGATGCAGATAGTGGATTCGTAGACTTACGATTATAACTTTTTAGTATGGTAGCAGATTTCCTCTCATGATTTGTTGATTGTATGTTACGCTGTACTCGTGGATTAAAATGGTCTGTTATTGAAGGATTACTCCGATTACCGTGTCCAACCATAGCGCGAATCTGCTGAACATCTGCCTAAAATTTGATAACAGGGATCCAGTCAGATATTTTTAGATACCATACAATCGAGAGACAACTGGATAACACTTAAATTTTCAAAAAAAAAACGCGTATAGTATATCCTCTTTCTAGTAACTTGCCGACAGTGGCACTAAAATTTCACTGTTAATGTCGCATGAAATGTTTTTCACTGGTCTTATTCAACAAAATTACAACTACATTGATAATTAATGATACATTCATTAACAAATACTTTCAATCCATTCTTCGCAACCTTCTAAAGCTTAATATGAAAATATATAAAGTGTTGTATGATTAACAGTTTTCAGTGATTGGTTTTTGAGGGTATGACTATCAACACATTTAATTGGAACGAATGTTAATACACTTTCCAAACTTCTTTCATTGCTTGTGACCGATAAACTAAAGACCATCCTTGAAGTTAGTGACTTGAAACAAACTTGAACTGACCTATACATAAATCTTCTAGCAATACATAACAATAATAATTCACTTTATTCTAAACAATTTGTGGTACAATTTGGAATTCTCAGCATGATGTATTGCAACAACAACAAAATATGCGTATACACATACTCCTTTACAATATTTCAAATTGTGTTATTATAAAAATTTAAGTAATGTAAAGAATATTAAAAACGAGAAAATTTTACATTCTTAGTTGAATTATTGAAATGAGATTTTTAACTGTTACAAAGTTGATGTGTGAGTTCTGTTCTAACACCCTTTTCCTCACAAAATATGCGTGCTGCGTAAGGTACAGTCGAATTCTTCTACTTAGTTGTACGAGCATACAGTCTGATATCGTTCCTTTTTGTCCTCCCTGACGAGATATATGGAGAGAGCTATGAACGATGTGGATGCTCAGTGTCAGTTAAAATTTCTGTAGCTAGTAGCCTGCTGGGATTTTAATGTCTATCAACTATAGTATTAATCACTTGACCTAGAGGCCAACCACTCACTCTACTGACGGCCTTCAAAGCCACCCTAAGCAACATAACACAGTCCATTTTTAGAAGACCAGGAAAGATCAATGGGGAACAATTCAGAAGAATAGGTAAAATTCAGGGATTAATAAATCGTAAAAGAAGAGGCTGAGTTATGCCAGAAAACCTCAGTTTCCTTATGTAATAAGTCAAATGGAAGATTTTTTTACAAATCAACAAAATATGAGACGACCAACAAAAGTCAGAAGTAAAACTCAACCCAAGATAGTTAACACTCAACTTACTCTCAGCAAAAATACCATCAATGCAACAAGCGTCATGAGATTTAAGCAGCCCACACAAGTCTTGTTTACACCTGAGGTAAAAATTAACAGTCTGACATTTAGAAGGGTTTAACTTGAGACCATTTGTGAGAGACCATTTGCCAACTACAGACAAAAAATTCATTTAATTTAGAGCAGTCTAAGGGAGAGTTAACTGGAATAGACACCGTCAGGTCATCAGTATACTTAATGAAATTAGTTTCAACAGAATAAGGTAAAAGAATGAAAACAGAAAAGGAGAAAGTACAACACATTGAGGCACACCAGCTTGAGTAAGCAATAAAGTCGAGAGCTTCCCTTTATAGACACTGTACTGTTTCCTTTCAAAAAAATAAGAGTACAGCCACTTTGTAACCACCCATGGCTCAGTATGAGCTATGGTGAGCTTATTTAACAAGAGTCGTCTAGGAACAGAGTCAAAGGCTGATGAGCAATCCAAAAAGACACAACGAACATACTTAACACCTTTGTCGAGACTAGAAACAATATTATGATGCAAGACAGTGGCTGCATTTAAAGTACTCCTCTGGTGCTTATAAGCAAACTTTTTGGATCTCTGAAAACCATCAATGAAGGCTCAATCACAAGGAGAAGTAATTTCTCCATTGTCTTCAGAAAAGGGTAAGTAATAGCGGTGGGTCGAAAGGCAACATATGATCCAGAAGATGACTTAGGCACAGGCACAATTTTGATCTTCCCAACAGCGGCTACAAACACCATCAGGACCTAAGCTTTGGGAGGGATTCAAGGATTTCAAACATTTAAATACATCATTTGTAGTGAAACCCGGAAAGCAGCTATCCATTTGACTTTGGACATTAGGAAGGATGAAATTAGATTGCCGACGTATAAATGACTTGTTTAATGCGCAGACATCCGAATAAGATTCTTTTGTCATCTCTTTTATACCAGTAAGCTCTTTAAATAATTTCCACTTATTGGAAGAGTTCCCACACGATAGGAACTTCTGGTTGTATATAGTATTGAGACGTATTTCAGACTTAATTAGGCAGCCTTTTAACGCCAGGGCGATCTCTTGTCTTATACAACCTTTCCTTTCCTCTCCGGAGCTTCTTGAGTTAAGGAGAGGAAAGTCTGTCAAATCTCATGTAGATTGTTTCCGCAGGGCAGCAAATATCAAGACACAACCTGAGGTAGCTTGTGATATCGGTGATAGTGATTTCTAAAACTTCATCAGCAAATATATCCCAGTCCGTTTCTATAAGCATGCTTCTCAATCGTACTATATTCTCTTGTAAATAGCATCTGTATTGAACTTTCTTGGAGCCCGTTTACGGGCTCCATATATGCCAGGTTCATTTTGAAATGCTAATTCTAGGGTATTGTGACCCAATAATACTAAGAAACTGCAGTCGCATGAGTTAAAATCTCCACAGACTATATATAGACAAGGAGTTACGCAGAACCGGAACAGTAAGTCCAGTGAATTCATTTGCGAAAGTCGACAAATCTGGGAAACTGCAGTCAGATGTGATATAAATGTTTATATAATATATATATATTATATATATATATATATATATATATATATATATATATATATATATATATATATGTTTGTATTTGCTCAAATGTTTGGGACGACATTTGATGATAATGCACTCAATTTTTTCGTTAAAGAAGCAAAAGCATACATAATTGGAGGGGGACCAGTTTGCATTGATAAATGTTGCTACAACACCACTACACTTCTTCTCGGAAAAGCTTCGATCTTGTCGAAATAATATGAAACCAAATAAGCAGACTAAATCATCATCATACAGGTTATGAAGCCATGTTTCCTGTAGCATTATTACAACCATGTTTCGATAAGCATTTGTGGTCAAGAGTGACAGAAGGTAATCAACTTTATTCGGCAACGACCTGTAGTTTGTGCTTAGTATTTCCGGAATAGTCATTTGATCTATGGCTATACGCTCGAAAGACCGTTGCCATCCATCATGGTGCCTCTTGTTAATTTGCCTATCAACTTGTGAAGCAATAGGTTGTAATGATTTTAAAAATGCGCGAGAGTATACAATACGATTGGTTGATATAATTGAACGATTAAAACAACATAGAAATGAGAAATTCGATGCAATATATTCTGTGATAAAAAAGGTAACCCAGAGTTCAAGCAGGCCGTCGGTCATATCAAAGCAGCACTCATTCACAAACAAGAAATTATACAAACAAACTTGAACTACTGATAAACAACTTATAGTAGGCACCTATGATTAACAAAAAAGAAAATTATGGTGCGTGCTGAACAGTATGATCATGCGTTTACTTTTTAGAGCATTTCACGCGATGAATGAAAACTGAATGTTGTCAGAAAGATAAATTACGGTACTTAAGGGTGATACTAACCTTAGTAATAAACTAAGATAACGACTACGAAGGAAGGTTTAAGGTAGGGAAAAACAAATAAATTTGAACTTTCCCCATATCTAATGTTTCAATAAACCTCAGCATACGTTCCTCATAGTTCCTACATAGTGTTTTAGGGGCAGCTTTCAGGTTATATCTATAAACTACTTATTTAAGGCGTTTACCGATAGACAATAATGTCATTCTGCAGACTGTATCTATGGCAGTATTCGAATATAATTGTTTCTCATACCATTTAGAGATTTGTTCCATCAGCTTTGACTATAGAGTTTGATTACTGCTGTTCTGAGTGTATATGTACCTGCGGATACAAAGGTAAATTCATATACGTAACAGTAAGCGACGTTATCATCTATATATTGTTGAGGTTTATGCTGAAGCATAGATTTTTTTGCCTCAGTGATGAAAAGTGTTTATATTTATTTTATATATTTTTTATATTTTATATTTATTTTTATAACCACACTAAGCATTTGGTCTTAAATTCATACTATTCGATAAATGTCTTTTCAAAGACAGATTACTGAGCAGAACTCATCTTTGAGTGACTTTAACACTAACATTTACGAACTTACAGAGATATGAATTACTGACGTTTGTCTTAGGGAACAATTTTATATCCTCTTCCAGTGCATCTACTGCACAGATAACGTCAGTTAGTAATGATCCTAAAGGGCTAGCTAAAGCGAAAACACCAATTTATCGTGAAAGTGTTACCTTCGAAAGTGAACTGTATTAGTGTATGATGGAATGCTTGAAACGAAAAGCACAAATATATCACATTCAGTAAGATAACTTCACCTTAACATAACACAGCATAAATTTATCTGAAGAGTCAAGTATGTCAAAACCAAAATCGACAAAATTTACGACTCAGATGTTCAGAGGGCTAAGTTTACTTACTAAAAATATAGTACCAATAGGTCAGCACAACGATAGGAAGAAACAGATGACCAATAACATCTTCCTTTATAAAACGCTTGATGTATGGGAATGTTTATCTAAGTCGAATACATAAGTTACTCAATATGAAAATTTTATTCGCTTGATAGTTTGTGGGGACTAATTGATTTCAAGGTAGTATGCATCACAGAATGACACAGATATCACACACACACACACACACACACACACACAGGCAGACAATATCAACAAAGGATCAGGCATCGGTGCTTAGCAGTTCACATTGTCACATCTCACATCAATATATCAAGTGAGAATGCACAAAGGTGAATGATGAAATGAAGAGGGAAAGACTGAATGAATTAGTAGGACGATGATGTATGCATAAGTCTGCGCCACTAACATTGACTCTGAGCCACATTCCCTACAG